TTAGACAAAAAGAAACTTGATACTTCATCTCTTTTCAGTTAGCAACCGCATTCTGTCATATCTGACAGTTCCATTCCATTCTTCTATATGTAATAGTAGCGCGGGCCAACATTTTCCTTTCGGTAGCTGTAACTATAATTTTTTAAATTTTACAGAATAAAACGGGGTTCTATCTTATTTGATCATTTCTTGCCTTTTATAAAGCAAAACTCTAGTGTTTTATTTAATAGCTGTAACTAGTACATTTTTTACATTACAGATGAAGCTGTATTCTATCTTTTCTGCTAATCCTATCTAGTTCTTAAAGTAATGGTAGTCATGTTTTATCTACCTATAACGTATACTCTGCCTTACTAAGCAAAAAGAGTTTTATCTTTGCAATTATTTTTTTAAACGTTTATAATTCTCATACTATTTGCTATGACATACTATAGTTTTGTATTTTTTTTTATTGATTTGCTTGCAAGGAAGTAGGTCCAAAAGACCTTTGTACCTTAACTCTAATGAAAGTCACTAGTGTGTATATTTAAGCTTACTGACTTTTTATTTTGTTGAGAAGAAATTAAGGATTCTCGAGCTAAATTGTGTTAGTTGTCAGTTTCCTACTATGAATTTTCGAACCCAGAGTAAAACAAGATATTTGACGCTGAGGTCTTTGATTATCTGGACCATTTCGTGAAGACTATGAGTTTTTTTTATTTTTCATGCTTTCAAGTTAAAAAATCTTCACAGCAACATTATTGTGTTTAGACAGGGATACTTAATTTAAGCAGTCGTTAGTTGCAACTCAAATTATATTTATTTTAAATGCATTTATTTCAATAAAAGTAAAATAATTTAACATTAAATATTAAATACTGTTTTCTTGCAGTATCTTATGATTTTTTTTTATATATTTAAAGTTTATTTAAGTTAATTTAAACACAAAATCCACAACACATTGGGAAGGAAAATATGAAGTGAATATCTCTTGCCATGGCCATCACAACAAATTTATAATATCAGCATTCTATCCTTACATCCTTTTTTCCACTTTTTTTTGCTGTTGATTTTACAATGAAATTCAATGAGATATTTTTTGACATTTTTCCAATTTACCTTCATATTCAAGTTTCCGAGACTTTTTCTCATTTTTCCACATGTATTATATATGCTTCAATCAAATGGATATGCGGTATTCCTTTTTTTTTTTGCTTCTTTTGGTGGTTTTTCTACATATCCCAATAGATATGTTCTTGTGTGTTTATATCCTTTCGAACACATAACCTAACTTCTCCGAGTAGTTACAGTATTTCTGTGTGACAACAGCTGTTTTGGCATTTAGAGTTTGCCACTTTTTACACTTCACACTTGTCACATCGCCACTATCCAAGCCCCTCACGCTCTCCATGCTGTCTGCATTAAGGATTTCCTTCTTTCATACACTTTTGATGACATTCATAAATTTACCCATTTTTATGTTGCCACTAAATTTATGTTTTTGTTGTGAATTGATGACGTTTTGATGTTGACGTACTTGTTCCATTTGATTGCAGCTCATTTAGAAAATTGCACAGTTTTAGCATCGTTCAGAAATATTCGTTTTGTATGGCATGTTCTTTTGTGAGCGGTAATGGCAGCCATTTATGACGTTTATTTGCTGATATTATGTTGTTTTTGTATTATAATTACAATCATTTACGGGGAATTTGTTAGCAATTCGGATCAGTTCATCGCTATATTTGACTTAATAATATCTTCTATTCTTGTGTCTTGTTTATTTTTGCTGTTAGGTCGTCCACCGCCGAAAGTAACCTGGTGGCGTGATGATACTGAACTGATTGGTACTAGTCATACATCGGTGGAGGAAGGTGTTACCGTTATGGTGAATCAACTGCTAATAGGCACCACAACACGCGAGTATTACGGCACAAAGCTAGAGTGCAGAGCGCAAGGCACTAAATTGGTACCGCCAGTAACAAAGGAGGTTACTGTGCAAGTACATTGTGAGTCGAAATGAGATAAAAAAATATGCTAATTAATAATTGTAATAATAATAAATATTAAATGTTTATTCTAGTAAAACCCGTGCGAGTAAAAATAGTCACACCCAACGATCTACTGACGGCAGGGCATCCGGTTCCCGTGCGTTGCGAGTCGTGGGGTTCATACCCAGCAGCTAAAATTACTTGGCTACTCGATGGCGAGCCAATAAGAAATGCTGAAATGACTGTGCACACTGACAAGGAGGTAAATATATTTTTATTATGGCTTTTTATACAATATGTAAATATCAAAACATATATTTTTAATAAAATAAATTTCATCAACAGCTAAGAGACAATTTAAATTAATTTTTCCTTTAATATTAAATTAAACCTAAGTCGGGACATGTTGAATGAAAGTCCACACTCCAAATCGACTTACTGAAATTACTTCCTCTTCTGCTCTTGTTCATAGGAACACTTAAAGAGATTAACAACCAAAATGTTTTTTGACAAGACTTATAACTACTTTGACATCCTTTTAATTGTACCGGTTTATAATTTCTTAAAAGGCTCACTTCCTTGTTAATAGTATGTGGCAGTAACTTGTAAAATGTGCTACATAAAAGCTATTATCCTGCGATCTTCTTGATGTCCGTCAGTGAGTGTAGTACGACCATGCTTAATCGTATTGGCCCTGGATGACGGGCGAATATCTTAATCTTCAAATGTCAGAACAAGTAAACCGATGCACTATTGTTGTTGTAATCCAAGTCGAAAATTGCAACAAACGAAAATCTTTTTTTGAATTTCCTGTTGTACCCAACCAATTTACACTAAATTGTTCCTAAGATTGCAAATCTATTTCCGATATATATGCCATTTGACAATGTACAGAAAAATTCTATGCATTGTTCTTTTTAATGATAAAATATTACTTTTCTCTAAACATTTAAATAAATATTTAAAATGTTTATAACAGCTTTTTAATTATTTTTCTTATTTTTGCGTTATAATTTATATTTAGGATGGCAACATTACTACAAGCATACTTACTCTAAAAGTAACATCTGAGAATGATAATGGCGAATTGGTATGTCGTGCATCGAATCCTTGGTTTTCGGGCGGTGCAATTGAGGATAAACGAGTCATACGTGTGGCATGTGAGTATGAAGTTACTATGGAAAGTTAAAGATTTGTTCTCTACCGTTTTAATTTTTATACATAATAAACCAGAAATGGTCAGCTGTTGCGCTAATATGATAGGAATCAAAAATAGATTGAGCATTTAAACAATCTCAACATTTTTTTATACATAAAAACATGATAAATTGCATATATAAGAAATTAAGTTATTTGAAAACCTTTATAAAACACTCCTTATATTGTTTATTCTTATGAGCTATTTGAAGCTATAGGTTAGAAACTGAATATGTCATCCATAATCCATTTTTGTGGTGCTGTAAGCTGCTACTGTTTAGCATAAGTGTTAAAAATATGTTTGGATAACTGCGCAAATTTGTGGACTTATTGTTTTTAATTTTAGACACAGTGCGAATTTTTGTTTAAATAATTTAACATTGCATTGAAAGCACATATCAGTTATTCATTTAGTGTAAACATTCAGAAAAATATACATTTATTTATGTATTACAAACATATAAAATATATCATTGATTTATATTGCCAATTTAAAAGAGAGATTCCAAAACATCTGTATAAATTAAAGCATCTGTAAAGGTTCGAGTAGTATTGCGACGAGCTACGGAAAACTGGAGGGCTCTACGAAAATTAAATATATAATGAGATGTAGTTCTTATATTATGTTCATACAAATAGATTAAATAGAACAGCATTATGAGGCAACGTCAATTGTGAAATGTTACTTTAACGGCACAAAAAAAAAATTATTTTTGTAACAAATTATAATGAATGACGAAAAGTGGATTTATTTTGAAAACTCGAAGCGAAGCAAATCTTAACCTTTATCTGGTGAATGCGGTCCAGATACACCAAGAAACACCAAGAGCGAATCGCTTCGGCAAGATGATCAGGCTTTGTGTCTGGTGGGATCAGAGCGGTATAGTGTATTATAAACCCTTGACGCCCGTCCGAACCATTAATGCACAACGCTACCAGTACCAAATGATTAATTTAAATCACACATTAATCGAAAGACCACCGAAATGGGCTAGACCACATAGTAAAGTGATTTATTACACTCGCTGTGCTACATAACAAAGTCAGTAAAAAATACCTTGAAATCCCTTAGGTGGGACATTCTACCGCATCCGTAGTATTCCCACAACCTGGTCCCACGTGACTATCACCTCTTTGCATCAATCGGGCACACAGTCGTTGAAGAGCACTTCAGTAATTTCAAGGATATTAGAAAATGTGTTCGACAAATGGTTAGCTCTAAAAGACAGGCAATTTTACTGGTATTCATAAATCTGTAGATGTCCATGTTCAACATTTTGAGAAAAATAAATAAATTTCACTTGAAAATTGCATACACACAACTGGTAGATATTTATAACAGGCAATACTTTTGGATACTTTTCAGTAAAACTTTACAAACATTTCGGAATTCAGTTCTTTCAGCTTCAAACATTAAACAATAGTTCATTCGTGTTATCTTTAGTTAGGATTTAATAAAAATCCTGTTGTAACGAAACAATCACAGTAGCTATTAAAAAAAACATATAACGAATCGTTATTTACCAAATGAATGTAGATTTTATAAGATTTTAAATTTCATACAATAAAGAAATATAAAAATCATATGTAATTTATTATTTTTTGTATTGAAAATATCTTTTGATACTGACAAAGACTTGCCTACTTAATTGCAAACAAAAATAGTGTATTCTGATTTTCGAACCTATCTGAACTTTAAAATCGCACCATCATAAATAAATAGGCTATGTTTGACCTTGATCTTGTACCGCTCACCAACCATAATTGTATCTTTCAATTTAAAAGCATGAGTTTTGGTATTCCAACGATTTCAATATATTTTTTCCCAAAAATATAATTCCAAAAAAGCCTTCGGTTTCTGCTTCTTTTTTTCGCTCTACTTGAAATCTTATTAGATTAGCAATTTACTTCAAGCAAATCCAATTGTAAAAGTTAAGCATGTAGAGAAGGAAAAATACTCAAAAGGTTCATCTGCTCGTAACCAAAGTTGGTTTAATTTTGTGTGCCATTTTAATAATTCACCAGGAAACGTCAGCAGTTTCCTTTAAGTTGCTTACTGAATGCGAGTACTTAATTTTCCTAGTCCCTACTCTCTACTTTTCTTTCCATCTTTTTAGTGTCTTTTTTGGGAAGAATCTTTTTTTAATTTTATTCTTTTTACTATCCTGCTGCATACACAAATAATGCCTTTGTATTAGAACTACACAACCGTAACTAATAGGCACATTTACTGCGTTCACAAAGGATATGCAGAAGGAACAGCGGCAGCAGCAGCAGTATTGGCAGTATTACCACCAGACATACTGTCAGTAGTCGTTGCAATAGTAGTATTAGTAGAAATGGTAGTGGTAGTGGTAATGGAAGTGGAAGTGGAAGTAGTGTTAGTAATGTTCAATATACACTACTCTATGGTATTACAATAATAGCGTAAGTATGCTCTGATTACAGCAATTGCTTTTTAGAAATATTCGGTAGTCAGTGTGCCACTGTAGTCAGTTGAAGGAGCAACGGAAAGAGTACACACAGCTTGAGTTAACTATACTATTTGCACTCCTGCCGCTGCTACTTGCTTTATATTGGACACTAGAATGGTACTTTCTCACTTCACTGTGCCATTGTTTCTCGTATTATCCATGCTACGCAATTTTACGCCATTTTTATATTTGCAGCACCTTATGACCCATTTCAATTTATTATTTTGACTTTTATGATGCAATTTGTACCGCTCATTAAATTTTCTAACAAACTATAGAACGAGTAGAATGACTACAGCTCATAGAGGCGCAACGAAATTTTTATATGTACGTATTTCCTTTATAATTTCCTCAACTGTTTTGCTATTTATTTTATGCGTATTTTATACATATTAAGTGTTATTATATTTATATATATATAAGTATATGCACATATATATAATATAAAAAAAATACATTATTTTCATATAATATTTTTTTTCATACCCTGTTCATAGATCCACCAACGGTGTCGGTACATTTGGCTAACGAAGACCCCAGTCGAGTTGTGACCAGAGCTGAAAGTCAAAATGTTACGTTCAAGTGCCGAGCAGATGCCAGGCCACCCGTTACCTCATATTCATGGTTCAAAAATGTAAGTTCAACAACATATCTCTTCCTAGTTTGCGCTACTTTAACTACAACTTTTAATTTAGTGTTTTGGTGTGTGGCCAAATGAGCGAAAACTACAACCAAAACTGCAAAAAAAAGATAATACGAAAACTATAAAAAATTGTGTTGAAATTGCAATACTTGAAGAAAATAAAAAAAGTGGAAAAATAGCAAATTAAGTAACACGAATAGTTTCAGTTTTTAGAAAACACTGCATACTAACATCAGAAACTGAAACATTTTGGTATAGCTATACACAGTGCTTTCCATAGTCCAGCAACCGGAACAACGTTTAGACACCAAATGTCCACAGCATATTAACACCAAACTTTTTTGCTCTTCCACTTTGTCTATTTTCTTTGGATTTAATTTTTCTATTTTTGTGTCCTTTTTAATTCCATTTTCTATTTGCTTCCAATAAGCGAAATCCTTTTATCCAATATTTGGTACTTTACTCGCCACAACCAAAAGTAACACCCAGAAATATGTTTCACATCTGCTTTTCGTACTGCCCGCACATTTCGTTTATTTATTTGCCGCTTTGATCCTCGTGCGTAAACGCAAATTGCCGTCCCACCAACTTGGCCAGAAGTCCCTCTATGTCCTTTTCTCAATATTTTTCTGATGCCCTTATAATCAATTTTTTTATGTGTTGGCCTTTGTTGTTGGCGTGGCTTAAGCAGACTATTTGTGGTCTAATTTAATTTGAAAATTGTTTGGTAAACCGCGACTTGTCCTTTGTTTTCCGCACATACTAAGACCATTTGCTTGGTCTTTAAGTATGTTTTGGTGGTCAAATTGAAAACTTTATTTTAAAAGTTGATACAAAAATTTCATTAATACGTTTTTCCTTTATCCTTTACAAAATAAGTTAATAAAATTACAAGCAATGAAGTAATTGCTAAAGAATTTATTCTATTCGAGTCTCGTGTAATATAAACAACGTTTTATTTAATATCAAAAAGAACTGATTTTTCAGAATTAGTAATTAATTGAATTTGAATATTTTACGAAAAACTAATATTGTTTAAAAATGAAGAGTATATCCTTCAACTCATAAGTTCCTATTAGAAATGTTTCAAAACTTCAACGATATAATATAGGTCAAGCAAAATCATTTCCTATTAGTTTTTATACCCTTACGTGGAATATAATATCAAATTACTATATCTCTTGAAAAAAAAAACACAAAAAGTATTAATATTAATGAGGAGGATTTCAGATCTTCTTTCCTTTTCAGCTACCTCAAAGATTTCACCCCATTTCCCGTAATATCAACTAACGTTTTGCTATTGATAACATTTATAAAGTAGCTTACTCGCGATATTTTGTGTTGTGATATTATACATAACATATTATCTTGGATAGCAATCATGATGTCACAGCTATACTTACTCTGATCGAAAACGAATCTGCGATAACGTGCTTAGCGGTGAATAAGAGCAAACCGAAATATATGACGGTTAGTAGGTCGCTAGCGACTATACTTTCGAATCTGTCAAGGAATTCATATACCTTACCATCACCGTAACAAACAATAACGATTTCAGTGTGGAACTTAGACATAGATTTACTATTGCCAATAGGTGCTAGTATGTAGAGATCTTGCTCTATAGAAAAAACTTATGCTCTATGGGTCGCATATCCTTCATATACTTCTACATAGCCCACAAGCACGGAAACTATCACAGAACGATAAAGAAGTACTGGGAATTTTTGAGGGAACCATTCTTCCTAAGACTTCTTTGAGTTAGCGACGACTACTGCATCCGAATGAACCACGAGATGTACAAGCTTTATAACAACTTTGATGTAGTTTAGCGAGTTAACATTCAGCGGTTTTACTAGTCATATCGTGAGAATAGATAATGATGCTCTATCGGAAAGGAAACTTGGTGGAGAAATTCCTAGAAGTATATCGTATCTCTGCTGACGTGATCTAGATGCACTTGATGTACGAGACTGGACAAAACTCGCATGTAACAGAGGTGCCTGGAGAGGTGTTTTAAGTCAGGTCGATACTTAGTAACAGTCTGTTATGATCACTTAAGGAAGGAAGGACACGCATTATATTATTTTTTGTTTTTCTGCATATTATGTCTCATTATTTTTTATGCTGTAATCCAACACTTTTTATTTCTAATAGAATATATCATTTTTTTGTGCTGTAAAGTGCTACAAGTACTAGTATTGTCAATTTGTCAGAATGTCCATGCAAATTTGTGGACTTATTGTTTTCACATTTAAATATAATAACCAAAATATATATTAATTCATAAATTTAAAAGCACTTTCCAAAAGTACTTTTTAAATCTTGTAGAGTTAAGTTGTGTGTTTCATTGGATTAAACCAAAGCTTGGTCTATATAGCACACACGCAATTTAAATTAATTAAATGTGACTTACATAAACTTATGAATATATATATATACGAGTATATAATACTTCTGCAAAGGTTTTTATTTCGCAGTTATCTTTTTACTTAGTTTTACATTTCGAAAGGAGCAAAAAAAATACATTAAAACCAAAGTACCTCTTAAGCTCATACAAAACCATTATTCAACGTGCAGTGCGACATAATTCCATGATGTATTGCAACGTATACCGCATTTTAATCGAAAGAAGCAAAATTATAAACTTGGAAGCAGTTGAACAATAGCAAAGTCAATGGTGGAGAAGGAAACAATATGATTGTACGTTGAGAACGGTTTTACTGACCTAAAGTAAACAATTCTTATTGCAGATATAGTAGGAGGAAAGATATATAATAAGCATCAAGTGCTATTAATCATAACAGATAAATTCTAAAAAAAGTTCATTGCTCTGGAGTAGATGCCCACACAACTAACAATAGTTATCAGTAGTGAGGATGTCTATTAACAATTACATAAATTGATAAGGTAGATCTTTAATTATTGTACTTAAAAAAGTTTCATGACACTAAGAATAATAAAAGTTATTGCATTTCTGAGTTAGAAAACTGACGATTTGAACCACTTTGGTGCTCTCCTAGACTCTCCTATTTCTCCTTAAGAGAAATAGTTAATAGAAGAGGTGAACTACTTCAGCTTGCCATTAACAAATGGAAAATATTTAGGTCATGTGTAACTTTTGGTTATCATGGCCCTCTTACAACAAGACTCGATTCTAAGAACCCATTCAAAGAGACCGAGTGTTTGCTGCAAAGCTTACTGCAGTTCTTACTATTCCCAGAAATCTCTGGTGTGTAGGAATACACGAAGAAATTCAAGGCTGCCTATCAATCGGACAAAGTAGCGAATATTCCGAGTTTATATTTCAATTCAATGCATTATGAGAATCAATAGATAATTCCATTATTCTCTTCCAAATTCCTCGCAACTGAAACTATAAAACCTATGAACCCATAAAACTCAGTTTTTAAATCGATTTGACTTTCTTCGCTTCTATTGAGCAGACGAGCCAAACTGTAGCGCCTTCAATATACCATACATCCTCTCCACCATTTGTCCTCAGTTGACTGAGCCTCTGGTCGCATATATAAGTGTACTGTGCATATATACGATACAAATATAGGACTGACTGCTCGGTATATGCATGAGGAGGAGAATATATGAAGCAAAAAATGTTATAGGAAAACCGGAAGACAATGCACATATCCGTTTTTAATCTTTTTCCATTAAGCAAATGTAGAAAAAATATGTAAAATGAGAAAAAATTTACATAAAAAATGTGGTTAAAATGAAGGCGAAGTGAAATGCAAGTAACAAGAGGAGGAAACAAAAAACACGATAGACAAATAAAAACTGAAGATGTAAAATAGTAGAAGACACAAAAACGCAGAAATGCAGAAATATGCGAAAAAATGCGGTAAATAGAAAACAAAAGCTTAAAAGGATTTGTTTGCATTAAAATGCAGGATCAAAAAAAAAGGATTGTAGATGAAACTGCAGCACAACAACGGCGGTGGCGAACACAACTTGGAACAAATATGCGGAAAAACGAAATTAAAAAATAAATAATATAAACGCATGTTAGTGGGAATAAATTTCGTTTCCGGCAATGACAAATGTAACCGGAAGTAAATGCAAAATGCAAATAATGTAAGCGGCTTAATGCATTCGTGCACTTATGATAAATAGCAAAGTTTTATGCTAGACATAGATAGTTTTTGCAATTCTCTTTTTAAAAATAGCAAAAAAAAATACGAAAATAAATTATTTTAAATTAATTGTGTAAGTTTTTTTTTTAACTATATTAATGACAAATGAGTTCCACACCCCTTGTTGTTCTAAATTAATTTTTATATTCAGTAATAATACCTAAGTCAACAACAGATTTAATTAATAAGGTTATTTAGCGTTACAGCAGTTAGAATTAGAAAAAGATAATGCAGATCTTATTATTCCGAAGCCCACAATAATTGTTGGCAATAACTTATTATATGATTTACACTAGCCTAAATGGAATCCAATAGTAATTATACAAAAACATACAAGTTTATTTTCATTATCCTTACAATCAGACCATTCAATTGTCATATAGTGTAGTTAAAAAATTATCACAATAAGATATTGTACCGAAGTACGTTATCAAAAAGCGGCGCTTAGTTGTATGCACTCGTAGTATTATGAAACTACTTAACAAATAGTTTTGTGAGACTTAGATATAAATCAGCAGAACGTTCCTGAGATGAAAGTTTTTTTCCTCATCTATTATTAGCAACTTCTCAACCGAAAGTATGTTTCATTCTTCATTCTGAAAAGTTGACTGACGTTTAACTGATTTGTGTTAATTAGAGTATACAAGATTTACATTTCGCAGTGCTCTGCTTCACTAACATAGAATCTAAATCTAATATTAATAATGTTTAATACTAACTGACAAAACTATTTTCTTATTTAGCATCAGTAAATATGAAAAATTTATCAAATTTCACAAATTACCTACATGAGGTGAATAGTCTATCTACTTGCCTATTACTGAAGCCAATCAACTTACCAAC